TGGGACAGCCGTGAGGCAACAGAAAGAGACATACTACCAATTCAAGTTTCGAGCTGCGTCTGGCAATACCAAACAGACATGGCACACGATCAAAGAATTGAGTGGTAAACATCGACAATCTCAGCCACCTCAATGTTCTGTTGATGCCATCCGAAACACCTTTGCAGAGATAGTAGAGGACGCCAGCCGCCCAGTGCATCTCTCATTTCCCTACGGGCCCGCCTCAAGCACTGATCTGACAGCCTTTGCGCCAGTGTCTATTGCCAGAGTGAGGAAGCTCCTCGAACGTTTAAATCCGGCCAAGTCCAGCGGTGATGATGACATTTCTGCAGCCCTTCTCCGCACACATGCAGACGTACTGGCGCCATCTCTGACTTTGATCTTTAACAAGTCCCTGAGAGAGGGCATATATCCTGCCCAGATGAAAAGTGCTAGGATATCGCCACTCTTCAAAGGCGGAGATCCGAGCATGCCAAAGAATCATCGACCAGTGTCCTTGTTATCGATTGCATCCAAAGTGTTGGAAAGGATAGTCCACGAGCAACTCACACGATATCTAGTCCAGAGCAATTTATTCCCGCCAACTCAATTCGGCTACAGATCCCACCACTCTACATCCGACGCACTAGTGCTAGCTGTGGAAGGTATCTGTGAGGCCCGTATGAACAGACTCAACACAGGTGTAGCCTTTGTTGATATGTCAAAGGCATTCGATAAAGTGAAACATCAAACTCTTGTGCAAGATCTGTTCGAACTTGGCATCTGCGACACGGCACTCTGTTGGCTGGTGGATTACCTCTCTGATAGAGAACAGTACGTTCAGGTTGGCCAGACTAGAAGTCCCCCGTACACCAGTTACTCAGGTGTCCCCCAGGGGTCGGTACTGGGCCCACTGCTATTTATTGTCTATGCCCGCGGCATAGCAGAAGAACTATCGCCGTTTAATGTGGGAGCAATCCAGTTAGCTGATGACATCTCTATACGATGTAGCAGGGAGTCTGCGGAAGCTGTTTCTGCACACCTTTCAGCTGCTGTTCAGCACCTGGCCACCTGGCTGAAGGGCCGTGGTTTAATTCTTAATGAAAGAAAGACACAGATATTGCCTATTCCCCCATCCCCATCTCAAGCACTTGAGCTGCATGTCATTTGTAATGGGCAGACGCTGCCTGTTGTGAAAACGGCCAAGTATCTTGGCCTACATTTCGACTCAGACATGAGCTGGAACACCATGACAAGCCATGTTGCACGCCGCGTTGCCGCTAAGATTGGGCTACTAAATCGAAGTGCAGCATGTTTGCCTTTTTCTTGCCGTGTTCAGTTTTTCAGGTCCTTTATACTATCAGAATTTGACTATGCATCTGCTGCCTATGCCCCTTTCTTATCGTCTTATCAGGATAAGCGCCTAAATAGTTTGTTCAAACGTGCGGCTCGCTCCGTGTGCAGGGCAGCCCCTCGCACTCACGCGGCTCCCTTACTTGAACGCATGAATGCCCATACCCTCAGCATATACACCCACATGCACATCCTTGTATTCATTTGGCGCTGCCTGAACAAATCTTCAAGTACTCTGTTTGCAAGCTTTTTCACCCATAGTCCCTCTCTCCGAACACGCGGAGGGAACAGCAAGTTACTCATCATTCCTGTCTCCCCCACTGCATCCTCAGCTAAGCGCATTAGCCATGCTGGAGCTATCCTGTGGAACCAGCTCCCAGACACAGCACGCCTCGAAAGAAACCGCTCCACTTTCAAATCGCTAAGCCTGGCCTTTCTGTTAGGCAGTACCGTCAACTAGGATGAACTCATCTGCTTCACTACCTCTCTCTCTCTCTCTCTCTCTCTCTCTCTCTCTCTCTCTCTCTCTCTCTCTCTCTCTCTCTCTCTCTCTCTCTCTCTCTCTCTCTCTCTCTCTCTCTCTCTCTCTCTCTCTCTCTCTCTCTCTCTCTCTCTCTCTCTCTCTCTCTCTCTCTCTCTCTCTCTCTCTCTCTCTCTCTCTCTCTCTCTCTCTCTCTCTCACTCACTCACTCCTTTCTTCCCGGTTGCCGTGCTTGTGACTTTTTCCCCTGCTGCCGTGCTCATATTAGTTATCTAACTACAGCTGTATCTTCTTCTTGGTTCTGTTATATTTTCTTTTCTCTTATTATCAGTGGGACCATTGTCATTAGGTTTAGGCCTGTTTTGGAACTCCACTTTAAATAAAGCCAAACAACAACAACATATGAAATACCCATAACTTTCATATATTTTAAGGGGGCAGCCTACCCATAACTTTCATATGGCATTCAATTGACCGTAACTTTGGTGTTTCTCAATGGATTTGAGTGAAATTTTGACCACACACTCCTGCCACTATGCTGGCCCTCAGGACATGATTTACAAGTTCTTGCGCCTCACTGACAGGCTTTCCAGGCCAGAAACTCAAATTTCCGGCATAGTCCCACGGTGTGCGAGCCACCCAGGAGCCAAACAAATGCATTTCCATTTTTTCACATTTTTGTGCTCATTCTGTTCGTGCGCGGGCCTCAAACCTAGAACAAGTCCAGAAGCAGCCATGGGTGATGGGGTAGGGCCCCTCAACGAGGCCCTGGAATCTGTCACAACGGAATGAGTGGGCGTTCTCTCACACACTCCCACAGACCCAAGTCAATTTTTGAATTTTTTTAGGTTAAGCACGTGCTACGAGGTCGTACCTTTGATACAACAACCAGTGCTGGGACCTCCACAGCAAGCCATTTCCACAGCGCTGCACACCAAATCCAGGATACCCTCAGAAACCGGCAAAGACTACCACTCACGTTTTACTACTGCCTAGTACTGAATCCTACCTGACTTCTTGACACGACTCAAACTTGCCAAAGTCACTAAATCAACGTCAACTACAATAATCAAGCCACATATCTGCACGAGGGTGCTGGCAAAAGTCCTGCTGCACGGCGGCGGGCTTCGCCCGCCGCCGTGCAGCCCAATACGTGCCTCAAAAACCTGATTTTTTGGACTTTTTTGGACAGCGTGCAACAAAAAAATCTTTCCTTGCAAGGGCACATTTTCGGCCATAACTCTTGAACGGCCTGTCAGATCGGGACACAATTTTCAGAGAATTTGCAGCTATTCATGCTCTTTCCACTGACGGAGCACTCAATATCAGGGCTCACACAGTCGGTATGCAGGATCGACAAAAGCGTCGTGCGAGGGCGGGTTTGGTGCACGTGAGTCGCGTGACCCCACGAGAGCACAGATTGTGTACATCCTACGCATCCCAACAGAAGAAAGAAGAGAAAGAACCTTGGCTTGAGTAGCCTGTTCTTGTCTTGTAAAGCCGATGTTCGCGATATTTTGGTCGGACCTGTCCTTTCCTCGCTTCTCTTGGCATGCAGTGTCACACCATTCTCGTTTCCGTTCGTCTCGATCTTGTGCTTTTACGATCGTGCATACTCGAGTGGAAATAGTTTGCTTTATTATTTTCACTGGGAATTGCACTGCAACACTGAACAGTTACTGCCAGCCCTCGGCAACGACTTGCCTTTCACTGTGCCTTGTAGAATTGGTCCACCGAAGGAGAAGGCGAAAGGCAACCTGTGCTAGTCCCAGGAAATTCATGTCATGTAGCCGCTGTTCGACCAAATGCTGATGCTTCAATGAGCGATCGCGATGTTCCACAGGTAAGAAGACAAACAAACGAGTCAGAGCTCGCCAGGCAGGGAACGCCGAGAACATACAACACGGAGCTGCTGATCGGATGGAGGCGAACGGGACCAGCAAATCCGCCAGGCGTTAGTTGAGGGCCACTAAAGGCCAGGTTTCCAGAGGTACCAGTTCCTCCATGATGGCGAAATGCGCTGCCACAAGAACTCCAGCGAGAACGAAAGCACAGCAGCCAACTCCGCGGGCGAACTGAGGAGAGAACATCTGAAAATCTGTGCGCAATGATTTTCTGTTGGACGGCGCGCGTTGCTGTTCCGCTGCATGCATGCGTTTTTCTTGTTGTTTGATCTGGTGCTGCTTTTGCACTTTTGGCGTTCTGCGCGCTGAGTGGCACTCACTCAAAAATGTCCACTACATCTCATTCTTGGCGGATTTTGATCATCTATGGCTTATTTTTTTCAGCGTGGAATTCTTCAGACATTTACCGATCACTTTTCCGATTGCTGTGCCGAAATCGAAGCCAAAACGACCAGACTTTGGCTAATCCGTGCCGGAAAACTGGAGGGAAAATGGTGAAACGCTGCGGTAGATCACTGAGTTTGGGGGTTTTGAATCAGCACAGCGAATCCCAGCTTCGTGGACATCAGCCTCAGGGCCGATGTAGTGGACAAGATCAAAGATTTGAGAATAGAGGAGAATAGAGGCCTGTGATTGGTCAGTTGTCATCACGTGACATCCGCGCAAAGCCGTGCGCGACTCCACGCTTTTGTATTGGACTGTGAGCCCTGAATATGAATTTACAAATTCGATTTTTCAGCGAATTTTTGGGTAGTCTGCCACCTTAAGTATTTCATCCTATTGTGTTTTGCACAATCAAGAGGAGGGGGATGGTGTAACCATTACACCTTCTTCTGCCTTCCTATCACTGCACACGTATGTGCCCGCCTATCGCTGGACAGCTTGTGCGCGCCTATCACTGCACAGCTTGTGTGCGCCTATCACTGCACAGATTGTGCGCGCCTATCACTGCACAGCTTGTGCGCGCCTATCACTGCACAGATTGTGCGCGCCTATTACTGCACAGCTTGTGCACGCCTATCACTGCACAGCTTGTGCACGCCTATCACTGCACAGCTTGTGCGCGCCTACCACTGCACAGCTTGTGCGCGCCTATCACTTCACAGCTTGTGCGCGCTTATCACTGCACAGCTTGTGCGCGCTTATCACTGCATAGCTTATGCGCACCTATCACTGCACAACTTATGCGCCTCTCTAGCTCTTCACAGCTTGTTCGCGCCTATCACTGCACAGATTGCGCGCGCCCCATCTCGCAACAATCCCTGCTGATATATAGGCCAGAGCGTTTTTAGACAACATTCACTTGTTTCATGTCCTTTACAGTTCAGATTTTCAAATTGGCGTTTGTCCTTTCAGTGTAAAGTCAGACCTATTTGTTTGCCACACAGCTTTGATCCGTTCTAGTGTCTAAGAGAAAGTGTTCGATTTTCAGATTTTAATCGGAGATGGCAGCTATACTGAAGTTAGTGAGTAACGACGGCGAGGTATTCGACGTGGAGGTCAAGGTCGCCTGCCAATCAAAAGTACTCAAGGCCATGTTACAGGACACGGGCGATATCGCCGATGACGATGAGCCTGTGCCGTTGCCCCCTGTAAATGGCGCGACTTTGCGAAAGGTGATAGAATGGTGCACGCACTACCAGAACGAAAATTTAGTGGAAGGGGAAGATCTCCTAGACGAGAATGAAAGAATTAACATTGATAGCTGGGATGAAGAATTTTTGAAAGTAGACCAAGGAATCCTCGTTGAGCTCATGAATGCGGCGAATTACTTGGACATAAAGGTGAGACAATTGGTAGATGCTGTATGTCGTTTCGTATACTAGTATGCTGAATCGTGATTCTTGTCCAGCGAGTACTTTGATACACTGTATTGTGTTTTTGGGTCCTGTTTGCAGCCGGCTGAGTGTTGTTGCCATGGATAGGCACTTGTAGTTTCATTTTCAAATCAGGTTTGTGATAGGGGATACTCTTTCTCTCTGTCTCTCTTTCTTTCACTCTTTGTCTTCCTCTATCCTTTTAGTGTTTCATCTCTCCGACTATCAATCTCATTATCTCTCTCGATCCGTCTCTCTTTATTCTCAATCTCTCTCTCCGTCCCTCTCTCTTTCTCTCTCTCTCTCTCTCTCTCTCTCTCTCTCTTTCCCTCACTCTCTTTATTTCTGTCCACTGTAGGGACTTTTGGATGCCGCTTGCAAGACTGTCGCTAATATGATCAAAGGCAAGACTACCGAGGAGATCCGGAAGACATTCAACATGGTGGGCGACTTCTCTTCCGACGAAGAGGAGGAGATCCGCAAGGAGAACGCATGGTTGCAAGACAAATAGCTACTATGATCAAAGGCAAGACTACCGAGGAGATCCGGAAGACATTCAACATGGTGGGCGACTTCTCTTCCGACGAAGAGGAGGAGATCTGCAAGGAGAAGGCATGGTTGCAAGACAAATAGGCATGCAGCCCTCGTTCCTGACACGAGTTTTCGACGTCCTGTCAGACAAGCGGAAGTGAATGGGCTCTTTTCCAGTAGGATGGCCTGTTTCCGGTCAGAGATTTCTTTTGTTGGATGTACTCCGCAAACATATGTCAGCAAACATGGTCATCGATCAGTGGACAATGTGCTCATTACGCTCGAGTAGCGCTTTTGGTAGGGGCATGTGCTGAAAGGCTTGTATTTGGTTGTTGTATCGTGGAGTCCAGTGTCTGATGTCATCTCTTCCAAGTGTACGTTTGGGTATGGCGTGATGTGTGACGTTTATGGTGTGTGGTGCATGCAACAGTACGCGTTGTCCGAGCGTGAGAATCTGCTTCCGTCTTGTGTTAGATTGACTGTCAAGTGAATGCTGTACATGCTCAGTGCTAGTTTGAACTGGTAGTGAGAATCATGTGTGATTTGTTCGTGGCCTGGTTGTCTTGGTCTAGGTCATGTGTTCTGTACGTATTGCTCCTTGATTGGTCGTCTAGATTATAAGGCTCTATATTACTGCTTGTTCTTTGTTGTTTCTTCGTGTCTTTTTCCGTTGGCTTTTCATCAAGTCTTGTTTTCGTCTTTCTCCTCCTGCTCTCTTTCCGTTTGCATGAGAAGTCAGAAACTATACCAAGTTGTTTGAGTTGTTATGTGACAGGGGCCGGGTGGAAAAGGCAATACTACTTCAGTGATCATCGTATTTAGGAAGAAATTTTGTTCCTGGAGTGTGTAGTAGAGTGGCATCTACAGTCGCGCTAGGTGTAATCCGACATAAACGCAAAGCTAACGCCCTCGACCAGTTTCGAGTACATCCCTCTATCTGTACATGATGTGTATTGTTCACGTCCAGCCTCATTAGTGCCACTTCTAGGTCGTCAAGGGCTTTGCTCAGGGCGCCACATAACTTCATAAGCAACTTAGGGACGGATTGTACCTAGCGCAACTGTAGTTAGGCCTCCACCACACTAGGTACAAAACTGCGTTCAGCGTGTCACCAAGTAAACGGGCGTGAAATGGATGCTCAAGATATGTCTTGTAAAACGCTCTCGATGTTTTCTGAGAATTAATAAATTTGAAAATTGTCGCGTCACCACGTTGCAACATAGCCAATTTCCTTACCCACGACGGAAAGCGCCTCCTCCAGCTACACTACCAGGCACAGCTCCAGACAGTCAGTATGCCAAACAGCGCAGTACCTTTTTTTATAATAAACTGTCAGAGGCAACCCTTGTCACTCCAAACAGCAAGTACTTCCTTCCCTGAGTGACTCGAATTTAACTAGCTGCAAAGTTCTGGGAAATTGCAAAATAATAGTGAACAAATCTCGATTTGTGTGATCGAAGCATTTTTGCGTGCCGTGCGTCGGCTAGGCACCGGCGGATAATGTCGGCAGAAAAATAGGCAGAATTCGGTAAATTTTCTGGTAAGTTTCATGCATGTTTGGTATGTGGATAAAGAAATGGAGCAGAATTTGAGGAATTGCCCGCCATAAGGTTGGTATGGTTCTGCCAATTTCACTGCTTTTCGAGCAGAATCTGCCACCTTTTCGAGCATTATCCGCCGGTCCCTAGCACCGGCCACCGCGTGACATAGCAGATAGAGGGATTTGATTGAGTTGATCGACAATTCCATTTGCTGGTGCCAGTTTTTTACTTTTTGCAAAAGTTGCCATCCCCTGCTTCAGAAAATGGGTCATTGCCTGCCCTGACCTGGGTTTAATACGGTCCTTCAGAACATAGATCACTATCATAACGTTTCTAACGGTCATAGCTATTATTGTTCAGGAGTTCGCAAATGTCACTGACATGCAAACTTGCTTCGTGGTACATGTACGTGTAGCTATGAGTTTCGTTAGGATTCACACTTTTAAGTCACAGGCTTTGTCTTCACCTTCTTTCGCACCTGCTGATTGAGTTCTTCGCATCCAAGTGTTATAAACTAAACGGTATCACCGTGAGGGTCAACGGGTTATAGTGCTTATGAGGTCGTTGGAAGGCTTCAAGCAAGTGCGACTTGGAGTCAGAGTTTTCTAATAGAGTTCTTTTGCTAAAGTTGTGAGCTGGTTCTGTAACCGTTCCACCTTCTTCTGCCTTCTTATCACTGCACACCTATGTACGTGCCTATCACTGCAGAGCTTGTGCGCGCCTATCAGTTGCAAACCTTGTGCAACTTCTAGCACTTACTGTTCACGGTTAACCTTGGCACGTGTTATTCTACTTACTGTATAAAACTGCTTCTTTACTAATAAAGAGACGATTATTCCTCAGGTGACTAAGTGAGATGTTTACAGGTTGTTTGTGTGATTTGGGCGTGTGCTGAGGCAGGAGCACGCCTCTACAGAACAATTATGCTAGATATTTAAATCATTAGTCATGTTCTATGTTCCAGAGGTGATATGCAAATAGGTTTTGACAAAAGTTACAATTTGTGACGCATCCCCAGTGGGGCATGCTCGCATGAAATTAGTCATACCGTATTGAATAATGTGCTGATCCGTCTAATGGTCTCTTTTCCAAGATTCCACACCTATCAATAAGGTTCTGCAAGTAACTGGTTTCCACCAAATGTCCTTCGGAGACCGATTTTTGAACACCAAATTAGAAATTTGAATAGTTTGCAGGCAACCTGCCTACAATCAAGAGAGCACTGCATTTCACACAAAAGCATGAGAAGTATCGCTTCTACGTTTCGGTCTTCATCACCATCATCAGGAATGAAGTGGGCATGAAAAAACCAGCAGTACAAAACAAGGAAGCAAAGCGCGTTACCTAGTGAGAGCTAGAAGGTAATAACATGGCTGCATAAGTGGAGTTACAGCAGGTCCCAGCCCCTGTTGTTGTTGTTGTTTTCCGGGGATCGCTCCCTGATGTTGATGGCCTTTCGGATCCTCCTCCAGGGGCGGTCACACTCAGAACCAAGGGCTTGAAAACCGGAGAAGGCTGTTGCTCCGAATGGTAATGTCTCTGATGTATGCTATAACCCCACTTATGCGGCCATATTAGTAGCTTCTAGCAGGCGTTCTGGGTGATACACTCGGCACATGTGTGTGGGCAATGCATGACTTCACCTACGTAGGATGCCACTTTTATGCCACGCCACATTCTACCAGGGTCTACATAATCCTTCTTGCTCAGTTACCTACAGCATCATGCATGGGATGTTAAGATACTGACCCGTGCGTTCTGCATGCATACAATGTCATAATTATTACTGTTATTTACCCCGAGTGGCGCGTGGTTCTACACACCTCACTGTACTTGTAGGTGTTAGACTGGAGTTATGCTTGTATCACTGTTGTAGCGGAATAATTATGTTACAGTTAGATGGAACTTTGATCTGGGCATGGAAATTCTGTCGTTATTCGCGAATTGTCGTTATATCTGCAGTCGTTATTAGCGAAGTTGACTGTACTCATATCACAATCAGGGCAACAATTGAAGGATTCCAGAAAGATTTCTGGTGACAATTATCAATAGAATTCGTGAATAAAGCGAATGATGAAAATAGGACTTACAACCTTGGAATGACGAAAACGAGGATACAAGGATAGTAACGAAAATAACACAAACATTGGAAAAGTATATTGCACTGGTAATAAAACTATACAGGTGAGAAGTGAACCTGGGGTATGTTATGCCTTTCTCTTTGCATCAGATGGAATATACAATTGAGAGCTACTGATAGGCCAAGACAAACACCTCTTGGGATCGTCAGATTAATTTATGCGGACCGAGCTAGCCGAGAACAAACCCTCGCGCCGACGGACGCATGAATAAGGGAAAAAACCAGGTGTATAATCCCAAGTGGCAACATGGCATCATGAAAACAGGCACAACATTTTATCTACACCCCAAGGAAGAAAAAGAAGATGCGCAGACATTTTTTTATTCTTCGCAAAACACTGAACTGAGATAAATATAATGACAGCATGCTAGACTAATGACTATGTGGAAGGTAATACCGCATACGGGTGTATTGAGAGTTCACATAACAGTAGCAATTCATCATGTATTGTGTTTCAAGTCTGTGTCAGACATGAATGGTGGGAGCGCGGGTACAATGTTGAGACTCATCAAAGTGACTGGGATGCTGTCTCAGGGCAGGCCAATGAGTTTACTTGGTAGAATGCTTGTTTACCCTCGTGGAGTGTAGATAAGGTCGACCATAAACAATTTGTTGAAGTCGCGGGTGTACGCATCCTGCTTCGCAGTAACATCAAGCACAATGGAATTAACATTCGCTAACTCTTCAAAAGTCATGTTGAGGAATTTCTTGCAGGTGACATGCAAAAGACCCTGGATTAGAAGAAAGAGAGATACAGAGAGAGAGAGAGAGAGAGAGAGAGAGAGAGAGAGCGAGAGAGAGAGAGAAAGAGAGAGAGAGAAGAGAGAGAGAGAGAGAGAGAGAGAGAGAGAGAGAGAAAGGGACCGGGAGACAAACAGATTGATGTGCACAAATGGCAAAGAGGAGGCTGTTGCATTACGCATCTCTCGCTATCTTACGTCATTAGAGCACTATGGCTCTAGAGCAACGCGTTATCTTATTTTCTGTGGTGCCACCTTTGCATCATGGCCGGGTTACTTAGGACTCTTAGCTGTACATATGAGGCCTATATCGCCGAAACAGCTTTCTGCCTACAACATTAATAATTGTGTGTTGCTCCCTACATAGTACATGGGAGCTCGCGCTTTTCCTGCCGACTTGATTTCTCGCTTGACTAACCCAAGACTGCCATCCAGAGCACACGAGAAGGCCATCGAACCGTCCACTCGCAAACCTGCTAGAACGCACCACTCCACGCTCAATACACAGTTTTTCGGGGAATTCACCCCTCATCATTTGAGCTTGAGTAGGCTGAGGAAGATTGTACCTGACGAGCACCACTTATAAGCGCTCTCCGAGCACACACATCACCAGGGATACAAACGTACACAGACGCTCCGTTTCCAACGCAACAAACACCTTGCGAACTACAGATAGCAGCGTGAGTCAGTATCGCTTATGGAAGTGCTGAACAAGGAGCGAGCTGCCATGCAGGGAGCAACACGCAATCCCCAAGTACCGCCAAAGTCGCACCAACCTCTTCCACACAACATTTGGTATAGCATTGGTGATAGGGTATATATTATTATAAAGAGAGAGAGAGAAAAGGAGAGATAAATAGGTAGAGACAGAGAGACAGAGAGAGACAGACAGACAGAGAGAGAGAGAGACGGAGAGAGATACAGAGAGAGGCGGAGTGAGGGAAAGAGAGGAGAGAGAGAGAGAGGGCGTACCTGAGAATAATACGGTGATGGACACAAGGAGAGAAAGAGCCCACAACTCAAACCAATACATCAATTATTAGTCTCACCTTGATCTGTAAGTACTTGGCAGCTAGGATGAGCTCAACTAGGGTTTTTAGGTCAACTCTCAAATCCTCCATGCCAACGGCATCCATGTTGTCAGTACTTCTTTCTTTGGTATCCAGGGGATCATCCTCTTTCACTGGCGTGTCGTTCTGGTGCTGCTCGCACCAAGTAATGATCTTTCTCAAAGTTCTGGCGTTCACATAGGGCAAAGGCACAATCGTGTCGCCATCTTCGGATTGGACACGGTGCTCCAACTTGGTCTTGATTGTTTCAGACTGGTGGGCAACTTTAACTCCAACGGCGAACACCCAGCCCTCAGTACACTCCAAACCTATGGTACTTGCCATTTTCAAACAATTTCCGAAGATCGAACCACGTTGATCAGACTTCAAAAACAAGCAACCTTCTCTTGCACACAAGAATTGAACAACTCTGTTTGGCGAAACATATACTATAGATCTGACATTTCCCTCCTTGCTAGCAGCAGCGGCTACGTATACCTCAACGCAGGGTGTTCGGTGGAGATTGGCATCAATGCAAGTACAATCTAAGAACCATTACGTAGGCTGGGTTGGAGGGATAATTATTGTGTACTGGGTTGATTACGTGCATGCGTTCACTGCATGCAAACCACTGCAATGTACAGTGACTAGAGTGTCTACGTGTCATGCTCCATTGACCTACGCTTAGAAGGCGCGGGTGGTGGCATATTTTTTTTTTTTTTTTTTTTTTTTTTTTACTAAGTACACAACCTACTCGTCAGAAGGGGAGAAGACAACAGAGTATACAATGACAAAACAGCAGGGAGAGCAGGGGCTGCAAAGCAAGCCTGTGCTGGTGAGGCAAGCCCACAACACCGACCTATGGTCTCGGCGTTAACGTGAGCTTGCGCAATATGGCGAGTGTGGGTTGCGCTTTTCTTTATGGTTACAAACTACACTCTCAGTAGTTGCTTGGTATGACGTAGTGCAACAACGACTCCTCTCCTAGTCCTCATGCTGGGTGTGTAACCGTGGGTACCAGCGTACAGATCACTGCAGGGTTCATCAAATCTGCTGGCATAGGGACTGGTTCACCACGTATACAAAGTACGTACTTGAGTAGCTAAGAGGTTTATTAGCACAGACGAGAAACCATAGTAATAAGAGAACCAAAGCGAAAGACTGAACTCGGATGGAGGGCCAAGGATTAGTTAAAAAAAGTAAAAAGGACCAAGAAACTACAAGTAATAATGTCCACTATCACCGCCAGTTACTGAACAATCCGCTCGTGTGATAACGTTGCACGACACTGACCGACGGAGCTGATTGTTTAGTAACTGGTGGTGTTAGTGGATAATATATTCTAACTTGTAGTTTCTTGGGCCTTTTTAACTTTTATAAAAGCGAAAGACAAAAAATAGAGTGCTTTCATGAAGTGTAAGATTAAACACAAAGGCTTGACATGACAAGTAATTAATTGACGAACTCCTTACCGCGCCACCGCATTCTATCCAAAAATATCAAGAGTACCATGATCATGAATGTACTCTTGTGTGTGCAGACTTCTTCATACCTGCATACACGATGCGGATAGGTTTTGTACTGCATTGTACAATGCTAGCAAAAGAAATCTAACAACATGAAAAAACCGCCGCGTTCGAGATAACCGACAAGTATGTGTAGTGCTGAGTGTGTGTAGCGCCCGGCACTATTATACCCATGACGTTGGATTTCTTTGGCCCGCACTGTACATTGTACATTGTAGTGCGTAGTGGTAGATTTGATTACTCAACCATTCGCTACCCCGTTATTGAGCACTCCTGCTCGTTTGGTCTTGCGAATTCAAATAAAATCTATTAAATATTTAACGGACGTACTGACGATGACGTCACCACACTGCTGTACAGTGTTTTGGTTTCGTACGCTGAGAGCCCACGCACGTCATCAAGAATATAAAGAGTGCAATGATCACGATTGTACTCTTGAGAATATGTGCAGGCCCACTTCTTCCCACCTGCATACACGAGGCAGAGAGGCGGAGAGGTTTTTGTACTACAATCATGTACAGTGCTAGCAAAAGAAATCCAACTACATGAAAATGAATAAAAAACACCGGGTTCGAGGGCACAGACCAGTATTGTGTAGTGCTAAGTCTGTGTAGCGCCCGGCACTATTATACTCATGACGTTGCATTTCTTTGGCCAGCACTGTGCCCTGTGCTCGATTCCTAGACTGGGAGCCGCGGGCTCGCTGAAGCTGTCGCAGCCTACGAGTTTTTTAGCGATACAGCCGGCCCGATCTCGAAGCAATCCCTGCTGATATAATGACCAGAGAGTTTTAACCAGCATTCACTTGTTTCATGTCCGTGGCAGCTCAGAGTTGCAAATTTGCGTTTTACCCTTTCAGTGCGAAGTCAGACCTATTTGCTTTGCCGAACAGCTTTGATCCGTTCCAGTGTCTAAGAGAAGGTGTTAGGATTTTCAGATTCTATTATTTGGAGATGGCCGCTATACTGAAGTTGGAGAGTGGCGACGGCGAGGTGTTCGACGTGGAGGTCAACGTCGCCTGCCAATCCGAAGTAATCAAGGTCATGTTAGAGGCCACGGGCGATATCGCCGATGACGATGATCCTGTGCCGTTGCCCAATGTAAATGGCGCCACTTTGAGAAAGGTGATAGCTTGGTGCACGCAGCACCAGAATGACAATCCAGTTGAAGAGGAAAATACCCTAGAAGCGAGTGAACCAGGAACGGATAACCTTGATAGCTGGGATAAAGATTTTTTCAAGGTAGACCAAGGAATCCTCTTTGAGCTCATCCTAGCGGCGAATTACTTGGACATAAAGGTGAGACAATTTGTAGATGCTATGCGCAGTTTAGTCTATGCTGAATCGTGATTCTTGTCCACACGAGTACTTTCATACACTGTAGTGGGCGCTTTCGATTATAGGCATTTCGGTAAATTCTAGAATTAGTTATTGTTGATGCAAAGTTCGATTTCACAAAAATGAAAAGTACAGTCGTTAGAACTGATTTTATCCAATTCCGTCATATCCGTCAATTGTGAACAGAGGGCGGAATTTCTCTAATTCTGGCGCCAAAATTGCACAGTCGGTGGATCACCGATCTGGTCATGGCTCAAGCGCGCGAATAGCCTCCCTGGCCGGCGTGTGCGCGATGCTGGGTCAACGTGCGCGCGAGGGTGTATGTGATTTTTTTACGATTATCATCAATTTTGTTTGTGAAATGACATAAAACATGAATAAAATGCGTTGTGAATTCCAGTCATGCGTTTGCAAGGCCCGAATCCGCTCATTCTGGTCATTCCAGAATTAAAAAAAAAAACAGTTCCAGAACTGTGTAAACGTGTAAGCGAAAGCGCCCATTGTGTTAATTGCTGAGTTCTGTCTGCAGCCAGCAGCGTGTTGTTGCCATGGATATGCATGTGTTGTAACATTATGAAATCAGGGTTGTGATATGGTATGCTCTTTCCCTCTGTCTCTCTTTTTCTCTTGTCTTCCTTTCTCTCTATCCTTCTACGTTTCATCTCTCCATCTATCAATCTCATTATCTCCCTTGAACAGTATTTCTTTCTTTTCAATCTCTCTTGATCCGTCTCCGTTTCATCTCCGTCTCTTTTTCTCTTTATCTCTCACGAACCATCTCTCTTTCGTCTCTCTCTCTCTCATTCTCTTTCTCTCTCTCTCACTCTCTCTCTTTCCCCTTTCTTTTGGTTTCTATCTCTCGCACTCTCTCTCCCTCTCTCTTCCCCTTCTCTCCTTCTATCTCTCTCTCTATCTCTTTATCCCTCTCTCTCTCTCTCTCTCTCTCTCTCTCTCTCTCTCTCTCTCTCTCTCTCTCTCTCTCTCTCTCTCTCTCTCTCTCTTTCTGTCTCTCTCTCCCCCCCGCTCTCTCTCTCTCTCTTTTTCTCTCTCTCTCTCTCTCTTTCTCTCTCTCTCTCTCTCTCTCTCTCCTTCTCTTTCTCACTCCCTGTCACTCTCTCTTTTTGTCCACTTTAGAGTCTTTTGGATGCCGGTTGCAAGACTGTCGCTAATATTATCGAAGGCAAGACTACCGAGGAGCTCCGGAAGACATTCAACATCGTGAACGACTTCTCTTCCGACGAAGAGGAGGAGATCCGCCAGGAGAATGCATGGTGCGAAGATAAATAGGCATGCAGTCCTCGTTCCTGACATGAGTTTTCTACGTCCTGTCAGACAAGCGGAAGTGAATGGGCTCTTTTCCAGTAGGATGGCCTGTTTCCGGTCAGAGTTTTCTTTTGTCGGATGCCTTCCGCAAACCTATGTCAGCAAACATGGTCGTCGATCAGTGGATCAATGTGCTCAGGATGCTCGAGTTGCGTTTTTTCCTTCCTTTTTTCATTATTTGATTTATATTCTTTATTGTTGTTTTTGAACACTCTGATGTTTTAGTTTGATGTATAATTTTTGTAGGCGCATTTGCCGAAAGGCTTGTATTTTGGTTCTTGTCTCGTAAAGTCCAGTGTCTCATTAAATGGTCTAAGTGCACGTGGCGGGTATGGTGTGAGGTGTGACGTTTATGGTGTGCGCCTCGTGTATGCAGGTAGGAAAAAGTGGGCCTGCACATTCGTATTCTCAAGAGTACAATCACGCTCATTGTACTCTTGATATCATGGGGTGGCGGGGTAAGGAGTTCGACAGATTACTTGTCATGTCAAGCTTGTCAAAACAAGCAATGATCGTCTCAAAAAACAGTTCACTGTTAAATTTTTTGGTTTTCCGAAAATGGTAATCTTCAATGGATTGTCATTAACCCTTTACCGTTTGTACGTACAAATTTCGACCGCTCACGGTCGATGACTTCTATGCGCACAGCGCTGGACTGGTTCACCGCAGAGAGCTGGGATTTTCCCTACTGGTAGCCAAGATGTACGCGCAGAGGATGCCGACGATTTTTTTGTGTGATGCAATATAAAAAATCGCGAAAATCGCGACTTGAAAAATGCGCTTTGGGAAAAGTGCGTACCCTGCGACTTTTGGTATTGCCTGCAGATTATTTCGACTTTTGCTTGAGCTGGCCTCACGACTGTCTGCCCTGCTGTGCAAGCCATGGACGCGGAGCAAGCTCTTTCGCTTCTGGAGACCCTTCCTGACGACTCTGTCGCTGCCTCATCCAGCGAAGATGAGTTTGTGGAGCCAGACAATCCTGTTGAAAATATTTATTCTGACGACGACCGCGATGATGACATGGCGAGTGAAAGCAGCGCCAGTGAGAGTGACATGGATGTCACAGACGACGACAGTGTTGCTGAGATGAGTGCCACTAATGGTGGAAGGGGACGTGGCAGAGAGAGAGGATTCGGCCGTGGAATAGGCCGTCGTCAGGGTAGAGGTCGTGGTGCACAGGTACTATGTACAGCCAGCGGTGCAACCTGCACTAGTCGATATTTGCAATACTTGGGACAATGCTGACACCGCTGTGACTGGTAACACTCCTGCATTCCACCCAGAGAACGAACCTGGTATCCACTTACCTGAGGGAGCCACTCCAGTGCAAGGATCTGATTTATTGCATATTGCAACAGTTTGCCCGATCGGGAATAAATCCAAATAATTATTAGTGCTAAATAGTGAAATCTGTGTTCGTTTTCTGGACTTGAAAGTTGTTGCATCGCATTCCTGAGGGTTTTTACTTTCAGAATCACCCCATTTTGTACATAATAAAAGTGAAAAATAAAAAAGTTACGGCATGAACAATGACGGTCGGTTTATGCTGTACAAATACCTAAAACGGTAAAGGGTTAAAACAGAAAAAGAAAATAATAAGTAGGGCTGAAACAATTATACCGATAACTCGCATATCGATCGTTAAGAGTGCAAAACGAGTGCTATCGATTTTTTATGCATGCATAAGCGTAAGCGAAGCTGTGGACGCAGCATACTGCTGCTACACTTCAGCGCGGGAATGCGTATAATAATAATAATAATAATAATAATAATAACAATGTGTAGGTAAGCTGGCGGCCAAAGCACAACATTGCAAACCGTGATGATATTTGCCTAAGGATTGCAGTTTGCAGACCACACCATGGAAGCAGTGAATACAGAATTATTGTAATGTCATACAAAGACAAGCAAAGAAGTGGCCACCATACACCAGAAACTTGCAGAAAGTCACATATCCAACAGATAGAGAAGTGAACAGCATCTGGTACAGCCCACACAAAACCAAGCTGACCTGATACTCGTCCGAAGATCGTAAGTGGCAGATCCTTTTCAACGATAGCATGCAGGTGTACGTTACACGCATGGACAAAATCTGACCGTGTCACCGGCATACATTGTCATCACATGCATACCCCACAAGTTACACACATGCACAGTAGAAGCACAATAAAAGCAATGGAAAAATATGAAGGGGTTGCTGAAGCATCTTCACACTTCAATTTCAGACTTCGATGTGGTCGTCACGGGGTGATATACCTGCAAGATACAAGTGATACAGAAAGAAAGCATAAGGTCGTGAGGTAGGCTATGAGACACCACCTAATAATAAGGCACCCATTTTGATAGTCCAGGGGATGGCCCACGCCTGGTAAAGAGAAAAAAATAGAGAAAAGAAAAGACGGGTATTTCACAGGAAGTACATGTACATGTACATGTGCAATGGGGACACAGTGCAGTTCAGTATTAAATGGCGATATTGCCTGGAGCGAATCCATGAACAAATTGTGGGCAGAGTCACGAAATGGCTTGGACGTTAACAAGTCACCGCAGCTGCAAGAGGTGATTGTGCTTCTGCTGGCCCCGAAACAAAGTCGTGGATAGTTGCTGCACAACTCGCTCTCATGTGTTTCTTCTCTTTTTTGCATATCTTTTTTAGGAACGGGTTTGCTCCTGATATCCACCATGGTAATACTAACATCAAGAGTACATAAAACTGGTTATGCACTCTTGCTAACATGAGCCTGCAGATTATGGGTCACGTGTGTAATGAGCTGGCTTATATTCGGACGTTAACGTAATTGGTCGCGCCAAAATGGGGCGTGCAAGAGATGAGACGAGCTGTAGTGACACCGTGTCACATTAGGTCGCGCTGTACTGGGGGTGCTAATATGAACACGCGCCGTTTATGGTTGCGCTGTTTTGGGTGTAAATCGTGCTTACACGTCAAGCAAGCACTCCATTTATTGCTGAATTTCGGTTGTCGTTCGCTATTTCTTCCATTAAGAGTAAAAAACTGGTGTTATGTACTCTTGAAACTATGGTTTCTGTTTTGTGCCAATAAACCTCTTAGCTACTTTCAAGTACGTACTTTGTAGACGTGGTGACCGAGTCGCTATGCTTGCAGATTTGACGAGCCCTGCAGTGATCTGTACGCTCGTACCAATACAGACCGAGTAGGAGGAATAGTATAATGAGTCTCATAATAATTATTATGAATTAATACTCTGACCTACCATGAGAAAAAAAAGAAAAAAGGTTAATCAGTCTCTGTGGCATTACGTCATACCAAGAGTACATAACCAAGAGTGTGCAGCGGCGAAATTGTTATGACATCAGTCTTTGGTGGCAGTTTGGCTTACTGATGCCATCATGCGTAGCCAGAGATAAAAGCACAGATAATTTATTTTTTAGATCAATAGATCGATATGTCTTGAACCTGGTGAACTCTCAACGTATCTACAAAACAAGTGCGGGAAAGCCTACGCACTTCATCTTACCGCTGCCAATGAATGACGCAATAAAAAAATCCGCTCTGGGTTAGCCCATTGCAGCCCAGAATGGGAGTTGTACACTCTCTATAGTATGTACTAGTCTTGGTCATACCCAAGTACTACTCAGAGCAGAGAGTGACACAGTAAAGCAAATAGACAACTCAAATTCGTCATGCGCCCACCAGAAGCAGTATGATTGTACACGTAGACACTCTAGTCACTATACATTGTAGGGGTTTGAATGCAGTGAATCTATGCAAGTAAACAACCCAGTACCAAAATAATTATCCCTCCAACCCAGCCCACGTAATGGCTCCTGCACTTGTCTGGCATGGATGCCAAGGTCCTTCCGTCACTGATCAGATCGGTCCTAGAGAGATCTATGCAGGCCACGCTGCTGGCAAGGAGTGGATTCGTGCAGACCAACCCGGTATTGGGAAAGATTCCGTGCAAACCTACAGTCACAGATGTGGCACCTCCGCAATACAGTATTGAATCACTTTGTATTTCACAAATTGAGATGCTCCAGTGAAGGACCAACGCACACTGAGTGCCAGGGTTAGCTGACGTAATCAATGAAATCTTAAATTGTAGGGCTAATCGTCGGTCTCTCCACGCAAACGGCTAACTTCTGCGTAGGTGCATTGAAAATGCGGAGATATTCTATACTACACGTGTATTTGTATCCTATCAGTGGCCGGTTGGAGAGTGTTGTCAAAATAGAGAGTGTCCTGAAGATGTATGGATTCACGTATGCTAGGCTCGGAGCCTCGTGCTGGCGGGCGTGCTCGCAGCCCCGCGCGAGTAGCCCTAGCCATGATCTCCTTGTACCACTTGCTAGTAGCTTGAAGGCAAGGAAGCTTCGGATAATACTCAATTACTTGTTCCTCTTGATAGCTCAGAGTTGCAAATTGTTTTCAAGGTGCAGAGTCAGATCTTTTTTTATTTGAAGATGGCAGTTATACTGAAGTTGATGAGCAACGACGGCAAGGTATTCAACGTGGAATTCAACGTCACTTTCCGATCCAAAGTACTCAAGGCCATGTTAGAGGACACTGGCGATATCGACGATAGCGATTAGCCTGTGTCGTTGGCCCCTATAAATGGGGCGACTTTGAGAAAGGTGATAGCTTGGTGCACGCAGCATCAGATCGACAAGCCGGTGGAAGGGGAAGATCCCCTAGATGGGAGTGAAAGTAGAACGGATAACATTGATAGCTGAGATAAAGAATTTTTGAAAGTAAACCAAGAAATCCTCTCTGAGCTCATGCTAGCGGCGAATTACTTGGACATAAAGGTGAGACAATTGGTAGATGCTGTGTGTTGTTTCGTCTATGCTGAATCGCGATTCTTGTTCAACGAGAACTTTGATAAACTGTATTGTGTTGCTGAACTCTGTCTGCAGCCGGCTGAGTGTTGTTGCCATGGATATGCATTTCCGGTTTCGTTTTCAAATCAGGGTCGTGATAGTTTATGTCTCTCTTTCTTTCTCCCTTTATTTCCTCTCTCTCTATCCTTGTACCGTTACATCTCTCCATCTATCTATCTCATTATCCCCCTCGGTCCTTCTCGCTTTTTTCTCAATCTCTCTCGGTCCGTCTCTCTTTCGTCTCTCTCTCTATATTTTTATATCTCTCACGAACCATCTCTCTTTCTTCTCTCTCTCTCTCCTTCTCTTGCTCTCCCGCTCTCACACTCTCTGTGTGTGTGTCTGTGTGTCTGTCTATCTCTGTCTCTCTCGCTGGC